GTCCCTGAGCTGCAAGACGAGGGGAAGCTCATCTCGACAGCTGCATTGAAGTCGTTATGGGATAGTATATACGTTATTAAAAAACAAAACGAAACAAAAAAAATTGCAGAAGGAACTTCTGTCCTGACCACGGACCTCCAAGGGAGTGGGAAGGAACAAAAGAAGGAACCCATTAAAGTCGGTTATAATGGGACTTTCCCTAGTATCTCCCCTCATGCCTTGCTTCCTCTTGTTCTAGAGGGACAACATGAGCTGCCTGGACAACTTCCCCACTCAAGTTTCAGCAAGAATAAATATTTATACAGAAAACTAGCATCAAGTTATAGGGCCAGATGAGTCACTGGTTTCTTGTTCAATTTTAGTTATTATCTGGCCAGAATAAAAATCTTACCTAGTTGTTGCACTTGGATTATCAGATCTCCATATTCAGCAGGTGTAAAAATTTCCTTAAAATGCCTTCCCCAACGTCATGATATGAGCAATACTTCCATGAGTGTAGTAACAACTCAAAAACATAAAATACCCCCACCCCCCAAAAACTTAGAACCATCTGAAAAGCTTATTCCTTATTCTGCCTAAGATGTCTGCATATTCTGCACAGGTATCTATGTCCCTCAACTCGACACCCTATTAAAAGCTTGCACACAGATCAGGCTGTGATCTTGTCTTCCCCATATCTTTATAACTTCAAAGGGAGGGTTATCCAGGATTTTTTCCAAAAATGGTAAAGTAAAAAGCCTACATTCCTGATTTGCACTTTCCTTCTCCTCAGAACCATCTCTTGGATGAGATATCAAATTCTGTAATCAAAATACAACTATCAGACATTTGATTCGAAAACCTCACATGCTCTAACCGTTTGGCTGAAATACTTTGGGTAAGGGTCTGGTTTTATCCATGACTGAAGATTCATAGATTGTCAGGGGCCGGAAGGCACCCTGCAGATCACTGGGTCCAGCCTTACCTCGCTCTAGGCAGGAAGACAACTGGGGTTAGGTGACCCCAGAGAGGCAACTGTCCAGTCTGCTCTTGAAAGCCTCCAGGGTAGGCGATTGCACCACCTCTGGAAGGAGTTTATTACCATCTGGACACCCTGACTGTGAAGGAGTTTTTCCTGGTATTAACCTGAAGCAGTCTTCCAGGAGTTTGTATCCATTGGTCTTGGTCTTCTCCAGGGGTGCCCTAGTGAACAGCTGGTCACCGAGCTCCTGATGCACTCTATCAAGGTAAGCTGCTATCAAATCCCCTCTCCACCTTCTCTTCTTTAGGCTAGAGGCCCAGGTCCCTCAGCCTTTCCTTGTATGGCTTGCCTTGCAAGCCTCTGAACATATGGGTGTTTCTTTTCTGGACCCTCTCAAATTTTTCTACATCCTTATTGAAGTGATGATAAAATGCTCAAGGTAAAAACGATGTAATTCAAGGCTTACTTCTGTGAAGATTTAAAATCATACATAAATGAAAATAATGTGTTAGGTAGCTATGGAGAGGCAATCACCTGCAAGAAGATGCAATTTAAAAAAAATCTTTTTACAATTGCAATGGATATGCACATACTTTGCACCTCCTTTCACCCCACACTTCGAAAAAGAGCTGAAACACTTAAAATATGTCCTGCTACAGCTGTAGCAATCCCTTAAAATTAACAACAACTCTTCCATAATTCACACATATCCGAAAGCGGAAGTGTACCAACCATATTATTTTAATTTACTTTTTAGTATATACATTAACACTCAAAAGTATGATGAAAGACAAATAAAAGTGTTTTAATAAACAGCATGATGTGATACAGACCGCAAAGTTAAATAAAAAGTAGATTTTTTACAATTGCTGATGAACATGAACTACAGTAAGTGCAGTCACAGGCCAAACTCTTCTTGCTATTGAGTAGCACAGCAAAAGGGAAAAGGTGTACAATTGATTCAAATGATACTGCAAGACTATACTCAGTATGACAACACATGCATCTTGCTGTGTCTTAATACTTTTTTGGCCCATTCTTACAAAAAAATGTCTTGTCTATGTTTAGATGAATGTATTATACCACAGGACTTTTATCCATAGAATGACCTAAAAACTAAATTACAGGGCAATATTTTTCTCTCTAGTTAAGAGTTATTTCAAAAGAAAAAAAATCTTGTCTTCATTTTAAAGGTTTTTCAAGTCAATATTTATGGGCATTAAAATTCTCCTCATGCAGGCATACACCTTCTATTAACTTTAACGGGAATAACATGCAGGCACCAAGAGGAGAATATGCCCTCCTGGGCTCTATTCACCCAAAATTTTTGCAATTGTGGGTACCAGTTGTGAGGACAGCATGAAAACAGGTCTTCAGAAATCCAAGTATAAGAACCTGGGAAATCAGATTGTGACCAGGTTCTCCGTCTCTTCCAAAGACAGAAACTCAGACTCCTTTCCTCTGCTGATGGTCACATACAGATTATACATCTCAAATGCAGTTAAAAGTCATGCGCCAATATTCAGTTATCACTAGTGGAGAAGATGCTATTCACAGATTAATATAAATTGAAACGTGGCAAGAAATAAGACAAATGTGTGACGTAATCACCTTAAGGCAGAAAGAGAGAATCAAACCTCTCCTGCTACAAATGAAACGTTAAGACAATTTTGGCCAGTCGGGGAACCCAGGACTCCTAAGAAAACACTGGAGATGGATTAAATGCATTTAAAAGTTTAATAAAAAAGTGAGAATATGCAACTGTGAAGAGCCAGGTTTTGGTCCTCTTGACCTAGGCAGCCACATAGAAATGCTGAAAGATAAGCTGTTAGTTCTCCACAGCCTGAGTTATGCAAGAAAAAACTGGCCAGCTGGGAAGACCACGAACCAGCGAACTTCAGAGAGCGGATGAGATTCTTAGCTAGTCTAAGTCAATACAGCTCTACTGAACTATGTTTGTATCAGCAAAGGATCTGGACCATATTGTTCAATGGGACGCATCCATAAGCCATCAACATAGGGTGTTTTCCTTTCTTCTGCCTGATGAATGCCACATTATAGTGAAAATAAGGACACTTAACATACAGAAAGTGTTTTAAAGTTTGTTTCAGCATCAGGTTTTATAACCATTGGCACAAATAGCTGTTGCATATTCTAGAAATGTATGAACTGTCCCTATTAAAGCTTTCCCAGAAATTCCTCTGATTTTTGCTCACATCTTAGAACAATGATTTAGATTCATAGAATCATAGAGTGTGGGGGTTGGAAGGGACCTCAGGAGGTCACATCTTGTCCAACCCCCTGTTCAAACAGGACCATTCCCCACTAGATCATCCCAGACAAAGCTTGGTCTAGCCTAGCCGTATAAACTTCCAAGGATGGAGAGTCCACCACCTCTCTGGATAACCTGTTCCAGTGCTTCCCTACCCTCCTGGTGAGAAAGATTTTCCTAATATCCAACCTAAACTTCCCTTGCTGCAACTTCAGACCATCGCTCCTTGTTCTGTCATCTGCCCCCACTGAGAACAGTCTAGCTCAAGGGTGGGCAAAATGGTGGATCTGGGGTGCTGATGGACTCCATTTCCCAGCAGCCCCTGCCCACATCGCTGCAGGCGGTTTCCATAGAGACCCCAGCAGCAGTGGTGCCCTGACAGTGTGGGGGCGAGGGTTTCCAAAGAGACTAGTCCCAGCAGCGCTGACAAGGTGTGTGGCTGGGCAGGGAGCTGCTCCGGGGCTGGGATCTTGCAGTGATGGCAGCATGGTCCAGAGCCAGAGGAGAGACATGATCCATTGCTTGCATCACCCTGCCCGGGATGTGGAGGTAGCGGATCATGGCACCACGCTGTCACCGCCACAAGATCCCAGCCATGGAACAGCTCCCTGCCCAGCCACGCACCCTGCCAGCACTGCTGGGGCTGGTCTCCATGGAAACACTGCCCCCGCGCTGTCATGGTGCTGGTGCTGCCGCTGCTGGGGTCTCCACAGAAACCAGCCGCAGCGACACCAGCAGAGGCTGTTGGGAAATGGAATCCACCACAGGCCTGATCTGGCCCACAGGCCGGGCCTGCCTCTGGTCTAGCTCCATCCTCCTTGGAGCCACCTTTCAGGTAGTTGAAGGCTGTTATGAAATCCCCTCTCAGCCTTCTCTTCTCTTCTTCAAACTAAGTGAGCCCAGGTCCCTCAGCCTCTCTTCGTAAGTCATGTGCGCCAGCCCCCAAACCATTTTTGTTGCCCTCTGCTGGACTCTCTCCAATTTGTCCACATCCTTTCTGTAGTGGGGGGCCCAAAACTACTCCAGATGTGTCCTCACGAGTGCTGAAGTGAGAGGAAGAATCACTTCTCTCGATCTGCTGGCAACACTCCTACTCATGAAGCCCAGGATGCTGTTAGCTTTCTTCGCAGCAAGGGCACACTGCTGACATATCAATCTGATTGTCCAGTCACCCCCAGGTCCTTTTCTGCAGAGCTGCTGCCCAGCCAGTCACCCCCCAGCCTGTACTGGTGCATGGGATGTTCTGTCCTAAGGGCAGGACTTTGCACTTGTCCTTATTGAAACTCATGAGATTTCTTTTGGCCCAATCCTCCAATTTGTCTAGGTCTCTCTGAAACCTAGCCCTACCCTCCAGCTATGGGCTCTTTCCCTTAAAAAATTTGGGCCACAAATGCAGAACGATGCAATTTTAACACCATTGTAATTTTGTGCTTCATAATAGAGACAATTGCTCCACTCCAAATTCCAGGTCAACTCATCTTTTTCTGATATCTGATGTCATAAAGCACTTACTGTCATTAAGGAGTAAGGGAAAGTAGAACTTCCTTAAGAGGAAGTATTTTAAGCCAGAGAGATCCCTGAAGTCTCAAAAACCAGGGCAGAACAGATTATAGGCAAGGCCATAGCACTCCTGATTTTGAAAACTAAAGCAGACAATTAAAGGAGAATAAATAAGACTAAGGACCACCCAGTTTAATTTAGTTTGCTATCAGGACTGGTTTCAGTAAGAAAACTTACTTTTTGTTTTTTTTTTTGTTTTTTTTTTTTACAAGTCAGATAGACAAAAACTTTCATACCAAGGGCCCAATTTTGATCTTCTATGTTGGCATTAACCCAAAATAACGCCAGAGAAGCTACAATTAAAATCACAGTAAAGTCAGATAAGAATTTCTGAAAGCTGCAAGCCCCTCCCTACAAGGCCCGGGTCCTGTACTCAGACAAAATCCTTCTACAGCCAGGCCCAATTTTTGTTATTACCTTGCCCAGTCAATACGGACATAAAAATATATGACCATCTGCACTGTGGTAGGCCACAAACTATTTTAGACAGATAGAGCTTTAAAACCTAAAAAACTTAGACAACTTTGACTAAAGAAAAAAATACAATTCACCGTAAGTATGAAACATGTATTGCAACACTAATTGGCTTCAATGATCTGCAACAGTGTCCACAACTGTATACTATTTGTATAAAAATTGTGGTTCTTCATCTATTCAAGTAAAACCTTAAAAAACTGAAATACAGAAGTTTAAAAAAAAAATCTCAGAAGCAGCACATCATAATTCTCTCTAATACCACACCGTTTTCTTTAAATTGAAGCATTTTAAAGATGTCAAAGACATCAAAATACATAATCATTCCAAGTGGCTTTTTTTTTGAATGGGTCCAGCCCAGATCTGCAACCTGTACAGATATGAAAAACAGGAGGAATTCACAATTGTTATTCAGCACAAACTTTGACCATGCCTGTTATAAAATGACAACGCAAGGAAAATGTCTTCAAATTGCCAGCCAACAAGGGCTACTGACCACTACAGGGCTTAAATGGTTTTACATAAAAATGAGAAGAAAAAGCCAACAAGCAGGGTCATCACATACAAAGTTCTCTACATGCTGCGTAATTTCGACAGTGCCCTAATATGCAGGCTTCTTATATCTTCTCCACAAGATGCCAAACCACTAACCATTTTGGTTTTATTTAAATGCTTTTTTTGTTGTTTAAATTAAAATTATCCTGAAGAATTGTATCTTACCTATAAAGAAACTACTGATGCACTCCTTTGAGAACAGAAAGTGTGCATATGTAAGTCAGTACAGTAGTTTCTTTTGCTACCTTTAGGAAAGCAAAGAATACAACTCAAGAAAAACTAATCAGCAGCAGCCCGTTTTGCTGTTAAAACAATGTAGAGTTTCACAGTTGAAAAAAATTAGTTACACCATATCACAACACATATTCACTGAAGTCACCATTTTCTAACGGTTTGGTAATAAAATGTAAGGCCCACTCCTAGGCTCTTTGCTCAGGTAAGACTCCTACAGGAGTTTTGCAGGAGCAAGGTGCTCAGATTCAGTCCAAGGTTGAAATCAACTACTAAAGTGTGTTTTGCACAGCTGATATTCAGGACAAAGGGAACATTCTCAAATCTAAAGTGTCAACAGGAAAGAGAGAAAAATCAATTCCAAACTCTACCCCATATAGAACTCCATTACAAATGTATTCAGTCTTCAAGCAGAAACTTTTTCTCTGAGAAAGTGGGCCTGATTCTCTCAGTGTAAATCAGGAATGATCCCCATAAAGTCAATGGATTTACATCAGTTTAAGAACTGGTATAACAAGAAATATATTTAGAGTTACTGCACATTTTTAAAAAATTGACTTTTCTGCATTCAATGAATTTGCGCCCCCCATCCCCATTCAATATACTTCCAAATTATGATAACAATTTGTTTCATGCACTATAAACCCAGCCCGTGACCTTGCCACGCTTCTATTTTCTTTCATTCTAAAAGTCCTCCAAATTCTATTGGGACTATTTAGCTAATGGATTTGCTTTCCTATACTATCACATGCCCATAAGAGATTTTACAGCTTGTGCAGTGTTTTGTTGTAGTAACTCTTGGAAATAGAGGCCTGAATCTTCCCAACCCTGCAGTCTGTGCAAAATGGGTGCAAAAATTGCTATTTGATTTGGTATATTTTTTCATTCACATTTTATAAATTCATATAGCTACCAATGGGTCAAGTTATGGAGAACCAGTCCCATAAAATTCAATAAGCTTGAGGAGTGGACCTTTTAATTCAGATCCTAAAAGGCTGGCCAGATCTTGTGTAAACATAGTAAAATCTCTCTCTCGCAATACAAGATAGTCAATAAGAATAATGTAGGATGTGGCATTTACTAACACATTTCTCTGTTAAATTATGGTTTACAGGTAACAGGGTTTCAGATTTGAATCATTTCATTGAATTTCTTAGTGTAACTAATTCCCAAGGTTAAAAGTGTTGAAACAGATTGGGTTGACTATATATAAGGGTAATTGTGTTCTGGTAAATATGCAATCATAAATGCTATTAGGAGTGAAAACATTCACATCTGAAAAGAGGCATATGTAACAGTCAGTGAATGAAGAAGGATTTGAACTCTGCTGGACAGCTCTAAAGTGATCATTAGAGCCAAGACACTGTATTCTCCATTCTAATCTTAGCATTTCTTCATAGTTTCCATGAAGACAGTAATTTTCCCATGCGATTCAGTTAAGTAACAGTGTGTTCAATGATTAACCAAAGAACTTCCGACTATGAAAGGTGTCTTAAAAGACAAAACAAAGTCCTGGCTTTACAATCCCAAATTCACTTTTCTCCAAGTCTTCTAAGGGTATAATTGATTGCACTTCTTAAATATATTACAATTTGCTTTAAAAAAAATCCAACCACTTGATACCTCATTAATACAGCCCCACAAAGCACAGTTCAGTTAGAGATACCAACTGTCAGCATATTTCATATTACATCTGGTATTGCACTTTTGAGTGGCACTTAAATTTGTGTGACCCAGCCCAACCCCCAAAGTCCCACACTTTTGGATTTCATTCCAAATGCTGCAGATCTAGCAAGTCTAAAATGCTAGAGTAAGTGTCAACCTTCACACCCTGGGTTTTGCAATTTTTTTCCCCAGAAAATGTTTAAGAATTTATAAAAAATAGTTTCAGAATAGCAAGTTTGACCTGTGGTCGCACACAGGACATCTAAAAACCTCTGGTAGTCTAGACAGTCTCAAAAACTGGTGCCAATTTGTGTATATTGTTTTAGAGAGAGAAGGACAATTAGATTTACAAATACGTAGAGAGAGATTATGTACAGACACACAGCTATAAAACATTTGTTTGGTAACTCCACATGCTACGAGCTATCCAACGTATTTGCTGTATGTTGAACTGCTTAGTGATTGTATTGAAAACTCATTTGCTTCTGAAGTACTGGTTACTGGGATTAAACAGCTGCTTTCAAAAGCAGCAGGAAAGAGAACAAAGAGCAAGAGAACAAGGTGGACCCAAAAGTTGAGGGTATAACCATACATTCCTTGAACTGCCAGCATATCACTTAAGTAACGTTAAGAGTATTGCCTGAGATTTACTGAAGAGACTTAGGACAAGTTCATTTCTGGCACTGGTGGCTGCATCTCCCACTGATTTTAATAGTATTATATTCTCTTTCACCAGGGTTGAATTTGGTCCTTGGAGTAGAGCTGGTCACCACCAGTGACATTACAAATAATGGGAATCTTGGACAGATAGAACTGGGCTGCGAAATTAAATGAGTGACTATGGGACAAACCATGTAAATAAAGAATATATATTAATAATAGTTCCTATTATATAAATAGCCTTCATAAAAAAATAATCTTTCAATAATTTTTAATAACTCACCTTTTTTTTAGGCCCTGGAAAACATGCATGAAAAAAGTCTATTCAGTTCAAGTCAGATTAAATCAAACCCAAAGTGAACACTACAATGTTTTGTTGCACTAAACCCAATTTTGACCATTCAATTTCTCAAGTTAGCCAGTCTTCTGGGATGCTGGGGAACAGAGTTCTTTATGAAACTAAGAATTTCATCTCTACAAATACTGTCCAGGAAAAAACACCATACATATTGGGCCTATTTCCAATTGCTTTCAAACACTGTGCAGATGACAGACCTAGAAGTGAAAAGGTTCAGTTAAACTTCAAACATAACATGTCTCTGAATACAGTTAAAGGCACCGTTCCCTCACTATTATTTTTAATATCTCTGCCCTTAAAAATCCTTCCCTTCAAGATATGCAGCATCTAAATAGCTGTGGTAAATGGGAAGTTCTCTTTCAGCTCATTTGAAACCCAGCATAGTCTCCATCTCCTGTACCAGACTTCCTCCTGTAGTATGTCATGGACTGCATTTGATGATAGCAACTCTTTTCTTCCTCCTTCCAAATGATCGTTAATCAAAAAACAAAAACAGGAAAGACTTCCAAACCTTTTTTGGGCTTAAGGCATAACATGAAGTTACACATCATACTAAAGCTTAATTTTGAAGTGTATAATTTTAGTGCCATCTGAAACCCTGTTTTACAATAGTTTTGAAAACTGTCTGAACATTTCATCTCTGTTCTTCCTGTCAATTCAAATGTCATTCGTGGTTTGTGCAATTCCTATGCAACCAGTCTTTGCTGCTGACAGGCATTAGCAGTGCAGTGTAGTGCCCACAAAATGGGCTATCAGTTTGTGTCATCTTTGCTTTCATTTCAGTTCAAGGCATGTTGCTTTATTGTGTGGAAGATCCAGTCCATTTTTGTTGTCCAGCCACCATGGTGAGCATCATTCATCTGTTTCATGAAATACTCCAGAGCTTCCTGCTCAGTTTTGTCCAATGCAAGTGTCTTTCGAATGTATGCAATATCATCAAAAGACTGTAATTCTGGCATGCCTGAACCAAGCATCATGGAAAACAGATTTATGAAGAGATTGGCATGCTGCCGAATTGCTAAGTAAGCCTTATAACACATCTCTTGAAACCTTGAAAAGACAGACAGATAAGAGTTGATTCAAGACAGCTTATTAGACCCACAACAACTTTCTTTTCTTGGAAATCACATTGGATATATATTCTTTTCATTTTACTATCATCTTCCCAAATCTCCCACATGTATGTTAATTCCAAAACTGAAATCATGTTAACATTAGCCATAATTTTCAGACAGGCCTGAAACGGTCCTAAAAGCCATTTTCATTTGCTGATACTTGCTTACAAGGTAAGTTATCCAGGAAAGTTTCAGGAACTCTACTGAGCCTGACTTATGGTAAAGCAAGATTTATTTTAAGCATTAAAAGCAAAGTGTTCATGGGTGATAAAATGTCCCACATCTAATTCATTGTTGAATAAGATTTTAAATCAAGTAAGCTTAAATGTTCACATATCCTGCAAAGTCTGTGAAAGTCACAAAAACCTAGCACACCCCGGGTGCAGACCCAAAAAAATCGAGGTTTACAGTCTACACTTCTGACTCATGAGTGGAAAGTCTGAGACACAGGATTCGTGACCTAGATCTGAACAAACAGAAGGTGCACATTGAAAAAAAAAACATAAAAATGAACAGAATCCATCTATGTCGCATTTCCTTGTACAATAAACTCCATATGCAGTCGCACCAAGTCTAGCAGGCAGCTTCATTTAGTCATGGGTCAGAATATTAGAAGATCTCTATTACATCCAAGGTAATTTTTCTTACAAGATATTCCCACATGCACATAGCTGGGCAAAAGAGAGAAGTATTTTACTTGTATAAAAATACTCCATCTAAGAAGGCTTACCTTTCAAATTCTCTTGTTTTGGTACATTCTTGAGCTCCTTTACTAATCACTATCAAGAAATCTTGCGTTAGAACGAACGGTACACGCTCTCGCTTGTAACCAAATTTTTTCTTCTTGTGATCCAGAAAGTGCCCAAAATCAATGTGAAACAGCTTTAAAGAGGGAAAATAACAAAGTTATTCGCGTGTTCGTCTAAACAGCTATCACAGTAACATCGGTTCATTTAGCTTTAGCTTGGATTGGTGATGGAAACACCAGCTTACAACAAAAGCCGTATCTTAACATCAGACAAGATGACATGTTACATAATTTAATATCTGCCAAGGAGTATTCTTGCATTAAGTATAATACCTGTCCATCATCCTTCACCATGATGTTACTATTGTGACGGTCACCGATTCCCAGTATGAATGTAGCGACACAATAGCCAGCACAGGAGCGTGTAAACAAGTCAATAGCTGCATCATACCTATTGAAAACAAAACACAAGGCATTTTACTGTTCAAGTTCTAACATAAAATGCAGAAGTAGCATCCATGTCAGGAAGAGCTGGATGTGTGCATGCTAGTTCAATGAAAAAGAAACAAAACTTCTTGGACTGAACTGAATCACAAAGAACTTGAAAGGAATACAGAAGATGCCGAATAATAATAAAAAGAACTATTACTGCGTGGCCTTATAGGTAAGTGGCCCCTGGACCAACTCTCTTAGAAGGAGAAAAAAAAGGTCTCACTTGTTTACCTACCTATTTAATTTGAAATGTAATCCATATTTTGATGAGTGCATAGCAAAAAGTAACTTAAGATCACTGTTATATTGTCACCAGCGTGTTAAACAATACCTCAATCAAACTCAAAAGAAGAGATATGGGGGTGGCAGAGAAGGGACGAATGTGTGGGAAAGACTACTGGTCAGGAGGAGGAACAAGGTCCATTATGTAACTTCCCACTTCCAGAAGACAGGATTTGCATGCTTTTGCTTTATAGTTTCCTTCAGGGAGACAACAAATAAAAACAAAACAAAACAAAACAAAAAGAGTAAAATCTCACATTTCTCCTTTGTTCTTGTCTTTGAGCCACTGATGTAACGTGTGGCTGTTGAATTGCAGTGCGCCCTTTAGGCCTCCTTTGCACTGTATCTGCATGATTGTATGAGAGCTTCTGACCACCTCAATAAGGCCAACACAGTCACCAATAGACAAACAACCATAAGGCAACATCCTGGAAGAGAAATTTTTTTTCAGATCATAGTTTGAGCCAGCAAGTGTGTTAGCAGTATTAAATATGCACTGTTTAGTAATGTTTGTCAGATGAATACCATCTGTTATTAGCTTTACTACATGGGGAGATGAATAAAAATCCATATTAAAGCCCTACAGATGTATTAGAAGCACTAAATAAACCATGCAATAATATGAAATATAATTATGTGCTTGGCTCCGAAGCCATGGCATCTGGCAATGCATTTCCTGAGCTTTATTCCAAAAACAACAATTAAGCTGAACATTAAATTAATGGTTTCCTACTAATCTACTAAAATTAAAAACAAATCTATCCATTTTAGGTGGATTTCATTAGTTCTTGAGATTAGGATAGACCCGAGACATTCAGGAAGGGAACACCTGTCACATCACAATTACCATCAGATAAGTACAGTAGAGGGTTGATCATCTAGAAAGTCAAACAACCAGCAGGTTTTACATTTAAAAAGCCATAAGCCTGCAGTTGGGTTTTGCTTGTTGACAAGACAACTACTCATTGTCTATTTACTAGGGCTTTGAGATTTTAAAACATTACATGGAATCATACATTTATTTCCTTCTATTTGCTGTACAATACATTAATTAAAAGGTTTGTTGTCAATACTTCACACTGTGGTGTTTCGTTATCCAGATAAAAAGATTATCCGCAATGATGATGACACTAATTATTTTGATAATTAACTTTCTACTGTACATGATAAATTTTAAGAAAAGTTTGTATGGACATTTAAAAATACATTATTTTCCACTGTAATTACCTGAAAATATTATAACATTGTAATAAAAACTCTATGATGTAGAGTAGCAATGTCTGAAGCTGCTTTTAACTGCATATCCATCCCTGGAAGTATGTATGTGAGTGTACACACCACAAACACGTGCCACCCCCAGCACCATTTTTATAATATCCTCCCCACCCTCTATCAATGACTGTTCCCTACATGTAATAAATTTACAGTAGGACAGTGGCTTAATTATTCTCCAAAGCAGTTGAAGATCTATTCATTTTTCTTTTCCCTTCACCTCTCCCTTCTTCATCTTTTATTGCTTCTTTTATTCCTCTCCCCCCTCTTTCTTTTTTTCCTCAACCTTTTACTGGGAACATAGAAAAACTAAATTAAAAAAAATTGCTTTATATTTGATTCTGAAGGCTGAGAGAACTGGTCATTCCAAGTCCTCTGTGGGCAGGCTGGATTTTGTAACTGGAAAGGACTTGTCTTGCATTTCACCTTCAGGTCTGAACTTCTGGGGAAGGGTCATTGATACTATCTCTCACCCCATTCTCATTAGGAAGCTGGGGGACTGTGGCGTAGACACCCATACAGTCCAGTGGGTCGCCAACTGGTTAGAGAGTCACACCCAGAGGGTGGTAGTGGATGGGTCCTTCTCGACCTGGAAGGACGTGGGAAGTGGGGTCCCACAGGGCTCGGTCCTTGGGCCCGCCCTGTTCAACATCTTCATCAGTGATTTGGATGAGGGGGTGCAAAGCACCCTGTTCAAGTTTGCTGATGACACTAAGATGTGGGGGGAT